TTCTCCTGCCTGTTTATGGATTTTGGTTTATTTTTAATAAAAGAGGCTGCTGTACTGTTTCAACTACTCGTCCTTGCTGCAGCCCACTGTCACATTATTATTGACTGATTGATGAGCAGGAAGGCACCTTCACTGCAGTAAGGGAAGTGAGTGGGTTAATTCAATAATCTCCACACATCAGAATTGGAGCTTAACCTTGTGATAAACAATGTTCCAGTAATGTCATCTGAATGAGCTAGCTGCTGTTGAGGGATTCTGAGCAGGACAATTTTCTGCTTTACTGCCCTCAGAGTACTGGCTAGCCGCTGGCGATTGAAAATCTGCTGAGATTAGAGGGGAAATGTAGTGGAAATCCAGAGAGAACAGTCGATTCAATTCATTTAAAAGTATTGTTTCTGCTTATGCATGCGTCATGCTGTGTGTGTAGTGTGGTGGAGAATGAAGATGCAGCTGTTTGAAGTGCAGTTCGAGTATTCTGTGTATAAACAATCCAGCGAATGGTGAATGAAGAATGGGAATCCAGTGCATGCCTGCTGGTATTTTGAAGTGTGCTGTACTACACATGCTGTGCTGTTTAATTTACAGGAACTCGTCCAAGAAGAGGCAAGCAGGGCTGACTATTTGAGCAAGATATTTTAAAGAATGTTGCAAGCAAACAGTTACTGGTATTGGCTTCCATAGTATTTTTTTTTAAGTAAGTGGCTACCAGCAACTGTTTGTTTCCCAAAGTTCTTCATGCCTTTATGTTCAACAGAAGAAAGAAACTCAAAGGTCTCAAACAACTTAAGGGTGAGTAAATTGTCAGATTTTATATATATATATATATATATATGCAGTATACATATGCAGTATACATATATAGTCATGTCATGTATATTTAGTCATGTCTATAAATCTATAAACCTTACCTGGGAAAAAAGTGTGATAACTAGCCCCAGTCTCCATTATATGAATAGCAAAACACTAAGCTGACGTCTAGACATTAGGAAGCACACACGCTCCATGGCATTTGTGCAGGAGACATTCAATTTGATTCTCTTTCACAATAATAATTGAAAATTTCAACCTAATTTGCATAAGAATTCAAACTCATCTGAGTTGAACTGGTTTATTTGAAATAAATCATGCATAAAACCCCTATGACAGGCCGTATGGTGTTTGTCAGGTAGCACTGAATAATTCTCCAATCATGAGGATTTCCGGATTAGATTATAGTCGGATGATCACTTGGCTTATACCGTCCCTGTCACATCGCAATTCGGAAGCTGGTCAGGATTGAGGGCATGAAGAACTGAGCCAAAACAGACAGGCACTTGAGGAAAACTTCTTCCAGAGCCCACTGTAGACGTCAGAAGTTAAAGTCATCTTTCAGATAAACAACAAGCCCTGCCACACAGTGTTTCACATGCTGTATGTCACGCTCTTTTAGATGCCCATCAAAAACCTGAACTATTTTTAAATCTGAAGATTTTGCGGACGCTCCAATTGGCCAGAGCTTGAAACATGAAAGAAGTGAACTGAATTAATGCAATAGCTTTACTTGTACATATACTTGTTTATTATTAAAGATATCTGCCACACAGTGTTTCACATGCTGTATGTCACGCTCTTTTAGATGCCCATCAAAAACCTGAACTATTTTTAAATCTGAAGATTTTGCGGACGCTCCAATTGGCCAGAGCTTGAAACATGAAAGAAGTGAACTGAATTAATGCAATAGCTTTACTTGTACATATACTTGTTTATTATTAAAGATATACACTCTTAAAAATAAAGGTGCTTCAAAAGGTTCTTCAAGCGATGCCATAGAAGAACCATTCAGTCAAAGGTTTTTTAAAGAACCATCTCTTTCTTACCTTTTTATAATCTGAAGAACCTTCTTTCGCCACAAAGAACCTTTTGTGAAACAGAAAGGTTCTTCAGATGTTGAAGGTTCTTTATGGAACCATTTAGACAAAAAGGTTCTTCTATGGCATCGTGAAGCACCTTTATTTTTAAGAGTGTAGTTGTCACGAATCCGGTCCACGAACTTTCCTATTCATTGACTCTCGCACTACACACTGTTGCACATCACCCCGGACTACATTTCCCATCATGCATTGCACTGATTGCGCTCAGCACGAATTGCACACACCTGTTTACACTGATTGCACCCAGCTGTTTCATATCACTCCCTCACTATTTAACACTCACTCTGATCC